CAGGACTGATCCCTGAGTGTACAGTGAGGAGTAAGACTTAACTACTGTTGGTGTGGTAAAAAACAAACAAGCAAAATGGAACCAAAGATGAAATACAGCTGGTATTGCCTTGCACTTGACAACCTGGGGTTGATTTCCAGTATCTCATCTGGTACATAGAATGATTCTTTTTTTTTCTTTTTTGCTTTTTGGGTCACACCTGGCAATGCACAGGGGTTACTTCTGGCTCTGCACTCAGGAATTACTCCTTGTGGTGCTCATTACCATATGAGATGCTGGGAATAGAACCCGAGTTGGCCGCTTGCAAGGCAAACACTATGCTCTCGCTCCAGCCCCAGAGAATGATTCTTTTTTTTTATGTCTTATCTTTTTTTTATTATTATTATTAGTGAAACACCATAAGGTACAGTTGTAGACGTACACATTTTTGTGCTTGGGTTTCGATTATACAATGATCAAATACCCATCCCTCCACCAGTGCCCATTTTCCACCACCATGGATAATATCCCTCCCACCCCCATCTCCCCATCCCACCCTGCCTCTGTGGCAGGGCAATCCCTTGTGTTCTCTCTCTCCTTTTGGGTGTTGTGGTCTGCAAAAGAGGCATTGAGTGGCAAACATGTTCAGTCCATAGTCTACTTTCAACATGCATCTCCCCTCCTGGGAGGATCCTCCAAACACCCTTTATTTGGTGCTCCCTTCTCTATCTGAGCTGACCTTTCCCCTAGAATGCCCGGCTGGCCTCTAAGCTATGGAGTAATCCTCCTGGTGCTGATCTCAGCTATTCTTGGGTATTAATCTCATATTTTGTTACTTTATATCCCCCAGATGAATGCAAAAAAGATACTGTTTTTAAAAGGACTTTGTTTCAAAAGCTCCCAGTTGTCCAAAGTTGGGACAACTGATCTCCAAAATCAAACCAATTTCCACACATCCCAAATACTGAAAAAAATAAACTGAAAAGACACTGAATTTTAGAAAGCTCATTTAGTCCACTCAGATATATACACACAAAAAATGGGAAGAGACATCAGTTTTTAGATAATATGCTATTAAACCAAAAATTACTAATTACAGAAAAAGAAAAGTTCTTTAACATGGAGTAATACAGTAAACAATGCCTTAACAAAACTGAATCAATGATTTGACAACTGGCATTGTCTTCTGAGATGCAATAAAAGCACACCTATAGAGTGTTCTTGGAAAAATTTGATTTGCTTTTAATCATGAGGAACTAAAATTAAATCTAGATTTTGGGTTACTCTAAAGATCAAATCAACCAAGATTCTTAAGAAAGTGCAATTCATGAAAGATTTTAAATGAGCAAAACTGAAAGGCCAGGAAACTGTTATTTTCAAATAGTTTACTAAACATACTGTGCAGAAAGGAAAAGAGCAAATGTGTCTAATAACTTGTGATTTCAGAAGAATGTGTGGATGTGCGCATGTGTATTTAATGTGCTGTTCATTTTCCCTGCAGGTTCCTTGCCTTTCCTCCCTTTAACTGGGAATTGAGAGCCTCAAACATGCAAGGGAAATTTGTCTTTCCTGAGCCACGTTCCTAGCCTAAACTTTTCAGCAGGTTTGAAATCTTTCAAAATGAAACATGAAGAAGAAAGAAATATAACCAAAAAATCCAGTCATACAAAACATAAATTAGAACACAACAAAATAATGGAAATTAAAAAAAAATTCTTACCATACACATACCATACCATACGCATTCCTACCACGTATCAAGATATTGTTATAAGTCAAAAGCAAAGTACCAGGGCTGGAGAAATAGCAAGGGGTAAGGTGCTAGCCTTGCATGTAACTAACCGTGATTTGATCTTTGGCACTGCATATGGCCCAATGAGCACCATAAGAAGCGGTCCCCAAACAAAAAACAAAACAAAAAAGCAGAGTACAAAATTGTGTACAGCATACTTCTATTTATATAAGGAATTGAGAAAAAGTTTTATTTGTTTTGGCCACCTTTCAACCAGGGTGACACTAACTGCTGGTAGTGGTGGAGGGTAGGCATGCCGTCTGAGAGATTGACTTAGTGGGCATCACACATGCAAGGCATATGTTTCACTTCTTTGAGTAATCTCTCTGCTTCTGGAAGTAGGTTTTAAAATTTTTTTTTTATTTAAAAAAATATTTTTTTGCAGTGCAACCCAGGGTCTCACTCATGTAAGGCACATGCACTACCACTGAAAATTTTTTCCTAGCCTGGAAAAAAGTATTACATTCATTTCATATGTAAATGGAACACAATAACACCTGAAAGGATAAATTAGGACACATAACAGTGGCTGTTTCATGGGGATATATAGAAACCATATAGGGTGAATGCCATATAGAGGTGATAGGCTTTTATCTGTGCATGTTTAAAATTCTTTTTAAATCAAAGGACAAAACCCCACATACACTAAGGTCAGTTAATTAGAGTAAGGACAGCTTCTTCAATAAATGGCTTGGGAAATGAGTAAAAAATTAAAAGTGCATCTGTATCTCACACCTCACACAAGTTAATTCAGGGGCTGGAGAGAGCAGGGTTTAGGGTGTATTGAGTATGGTGCTTGCTTTGTATATGGTTTACCTGGGTTTAAAGCCTGGTGTTCTATATGGTCCACCAAACATCAACCACCATGAGTAGTTCCTGAGTGAAGAGCCAGAAGTAACTTCTGAACATTCTTGGTAGTGGCCCAAAAGCCATAAAAAATAATAAAAAAAAATACAATTCAAAGGGCATCAAAGATCTTGAGAGCAAATGAGCATCAATAAAGTCACTGTCACTGTCCTCCCGTTGTTCATTGATTTGCTCAAGCGGGCCCAGTAACGTCTCCATTGTGACATTTGTTACTGTGTTTGGCATATCAAATACGTCACGGGGAGCTTGCCAGGCTTTGCCATGAGGGTGAGACACTCTCGGTAGCTTGCTGGGCTCTCTGAGAGGGGCAGAGGAATCGAAACTGGGTCGACCGACCCGGCCACGTGCAAGGCAAACGCTCTACCTGCTGTGCTATCGCTCTAGCCATCAATAAGTACAATGAGGAAAACATAGGTACAATGCTCCAATACTTGGACTTCAAAGGTGTCATCAATGATATGATATCACAGGCAAAGACAAGAGAATCAAAAATAAACAAATGGGACATCGAATAAAAGAGTTTCTGCTTGGCAAAAGAAACATGAGCTAAAACTAAAAGACAACTAACTGAATGGGAGAAAATATTCACACTCAACACATCAGAACGATATCCAGAATATCTAACATACAAAGGTTAACAACAACAAAAACAACAAAGACCCCCCACAAAAACTCTCAAAAAATGGGGAGAGAAAACGAACAGGTACTTCTCTGAAGAAGACCAATGGATGTACAACAGGCACATGAAAAAAATGCACACCATCACTTATTATTAGGGAAATCCAAACTAACACAACAATGAGATATCATGTCATACCAGTGAGAATGACACGTGTCAAAAATACTGAGAAAAGTCTGTTAGCAGGATTGTGGTAAAAAAGGAACTCTCATCAACTTCTGGTGGGAATGCTGTTTCTTCTTTGGGGGGAGCTACCTGGCACTGCTAAGGGTTTATTCCTAGCTCTGTGCTCAGGGAGCACTACTGGAGGGGCTGAAGGGACTTTAGGGGCACCAGGGATTGAACCTGGGTCATCTGTGTACAGGGCAAACTTCTTACCCACTATACTATCTGTCTGGCCCCATAATTTGCTCTGATCTATAATTCCTTTTTTTCTTTTTGGTCACATCTGATGGTTTTCAGGAATTACTACTGGTTCTTAGCTCAGGGATCACTTCTGGGGGGCTATATGGGGTGCTGTGAATCAAATCTGGCTTGGCTATGTACAAGGCAAGTGCCCTACCTGCTGTACGATTTCTTTAAAATATTTCAACCCTGTTTTAAACAGCATGGAGATTTCTCACTAACTAATAACTGGGCTGCTATAAGACCCAATAATTCCACTTCTTAGTATATACTCTAGGACACAAAAACATTTATTTGAAAGGACACCATTATTCTCCACAGCACTAAGTATAATAGCTAAGACAAAGAATCAACCAATAGCAGACATGAAGTGGATCATGAATAAGTGGTATATATACACAATGAAATATTATGTAGCTGTAAGGAATGATGAAATATTGCAATTTGCTGCAACATGAATTGAACTGGAAGATACCATGTTAAATGCAATAAGCCAGAAACAGTAGGACAAACAGGATGATCTTATATGTGATCGAGATCATCCTTAACCCCAGAGTACAGGGAGGAGATGGACAAAAAAATAAATTGAAGGGGAAAAGTAAGAGGAAACAGACAGGAATCAACAGGAAGAAGGGATTAAAGAGACTCATGTACACAGGTGGTGCAGAGGAGTGTTATAGTTATGTATCCAAAACAGAATGACCGACACTAAAATCATGACATTCAAACTGTAACATGTGCCTCTCAAGGTTGCAGGCTGGGGATGGGAGGGAATGTGGGTTCAATGGTAGAGGGAGGTTGACAGTGGTAGTGGACATTAAATACCTAAAACTCAATTACAAATAACTTTGTAAATTACAGTATTTAAAAAAACTTTTTAAAAACCCTCAGTATAAAAATGATATGTAAACAATTTCTTCCTGAAGCTGGGCCTGTAAGGAAGCAATGCTAAACATCTTAGAGCTCAGTACACATTAGATATCTTTGTAAAGAGTGACCCTGCCATATTTTAAAAAGTATATCACCCAGAACTGAGGTTACCAGGGCAGGGGCAGGGAATAGACAAGAAAGGTCTTTTGGACAGTGGTGGGGGGATATTGGCACTTTGGTGGTAAGTGTACTGTGGTAAAGTTTATCCTTAAAATATACATTTAGTCTTATAAATCAATGCCACCTCGCTGGAAAAATAGAATTTAGACACCTTCCCACCCCAGATAACTGTATTTTACTACACGAAGGCCTTAAGTGCAAACAATCTTTTGATGAGTATTTTCTCACCTGGATTAGGTCCTTCTAAAATTTCTTTTAACACCATCCATGGTTCTTCCAACATGGGAATCACAGTTGGTCTGTATACTGTAAGTCCTGCTCAGGAGGAATATAATGAAATAAATATGTGTAAAATTTACCTGACATCTATCTATATGTGAGAAAAAACAGAAAATATTTTCTGTAGGAAAAACAAGGAAAGCATGAACATAATCTAATAAGGGAATTATGTTATTATCCTTTCCAGAATCAGGATAAAAAATTCTTGCTCCAATCACTATACCTCAATAAAAATGAGAGAAAAATGGTTATGTGGAGAACCAGGGGGAATTATGGAAGAAGGGAATCAGCAAGGCACAGGACTTTTTTTTGGAGGGGAGGGAGGGCCACATTAATGTGATGCTCAGGGCTAATTCATAGCTCTGTGCTCAGGAATCACTCTGGCAGTGTTTGGGAGAGCACAGGGAATGCCAGGGATTGAACCCAGGTCAGCAACATGAAAGGCAAGTGTTCTACCCACTGTACTATTTCTCCAGTGCTGGCACAGGATTATGTAAATGTGCACAACTTTTTTTGTTTTGCTTTCTTTTGGCTACAACCAGCAGTGCTCAGGCTTACTTCTGGCTCTGAAATCACAAATCACTCCTATTAGGGCTCAGGGATCAAACTGATGTTAGCCACATGGAAGGCAAATGCCTTAACCCTTGTACTCTCTCTCTCTGGCCCCGCATCAGTTTTTTAATGAGCTTTAGAAACCTTTCAGTTAGGAAAAGGAAACATGACATTGTCATCTCTGTGCCCAATGGGAAACATACAGCATTTTTAGGCCTCATTCTTAGTAAAGTATTTCAGAGACCCACTTTTTTTTTCTGGTACCAAGGGGATGGAACCAAGGTCTCTCATATGCAAGATTCATGTGCTTTCACCATAAAGTCACACTCCAACCTTAGAACAAATCTCCTTTTTTGAGGGCAGAAGAAGGGCTCTCAAGAGGTGCTCAGGAGGCCGTGGGCCTCACCAGGGACTTTTTGCCAACCAGGTTGGTGGTTTAATGCTGGGTATTACCCAGGTCACCTGGTGGTATCAGAGGTTTCCAATGTCAGGGCCTCAAGATTTGCACCCAGTGATGTTTAGCAGAACTGTGTAGAGCTGGGGATGGAACCAAGGTAAGCGGCATTCAAGGTGTACATAACCCCTACATTATCTCTCAGCCTCTGATCCACTTTTGACAACCGTATGCTAGTGGGTACACTAGAATAGCTATGGGCAGAAAGATGCTTACCCAGAGAAACCATGTTCCAATAGTTCTGTAATGTTACAGTCTTGTACAATTCTTTCTGTATGGGGCGCATTAGCTCCCAGTCCTCTTGGGTGATATCCACAGACACATCTTTGAATGTCATTGATTCCTAAATATAAAATATAAGGAAACAGTTATAACATTAGCTGCAAATGTGGTAAGGGTAATCATGTAACCTTATGACTTATTCTGTCCCTAATGATTGCCTAGTCAAAACCTTCAGCAATATATGGATGGGCATAAATGAATGACACTAAAGTGAAGTTTGAAATAAAACAGAGGGCCTGTATATGGCCCTGTTCAATCCCTGGCACCCCCAAAAAAAGAATGGATCATTTTCACTTGTTTCTAGTGCATGTACTGGTGGCTTCATTTAAAGAACAACTGGTGAAAGAATTGAATTGTTTTGGCTTTTGAAGACCTCCTTAAGAATTCAGAGTGCTTGAGGGATAAAGTGATAGTGCAGGGGGTAGACGCACTTGCTTTTTTCCTGGCCAATCTGGGTTTATAAATTTGGCATTTTATTCTATATGTCACTGTCACTGTCCTCCCATTGTTCATCGATTTGCTCGAGCAGGCCCAGTAACATTATGAGACTTGTTACTGTGTTTGGCATATTGAATACGTCACGGGAGCTTTCCAGGCTTTGCTGTGCAGGCAAGATACTCTTGGTAGCTTGCCGGGTTCTCCAAGAGAGATGGAGGAATTGAACTCGGGTTGGCCGTGTCCGTGTTGGCCACATGCAAGGCAAATGCCCTACCTGCTGTGCTATCGCTCCAGCCCCTACATAATATAAACATAAAATTATTTAAAAATATTTTTTAAAAATTTATTTTTTAAGAAAAGGTTAGCAAAACCCTCCACAACATTGAAGCTAGAGGTATCTTCAAAGATGACACGTAGCTGACCAAGTGGAAACAGAGATAAACAAATGGGACTATCTTAAACTAAGAAGCTTCTGTACCTTAAAAGAAACAGTGACCAGAATACAAAGACAGAATGGGAAAGGATATTCAACCAATACCCATCTGATAAGGGGTAAATATCAAGAATATACAAGGCACTGGTTGAACTCTACAAGAAGAAAACATCCAATCCCATCAGAAAATGGGGTGATGAAACGAAAAGAAACTTTCTCAAAGAAGATATCTGAAAGGCCAAAAGACACATGAAAAAAATGCTCTACATTACTAATCATCAGGGAGATGCAGATCAAAACAACAATAGGATATCACCTCACACCAGAGACTGGCCCACATCCAAAAGAATAAAAGCAACTGGTACTGGCATGTATGTGGGGATAAAGGGACTCTCCTTCACTGCTGGTGGGAATGTTGACTGGTTCAGCCCTTTTGGAAAACAGTAAGGACCTTTCTCAAAAAAGTAACAAAATAGGAGACTAATACCCAAGGATAGTAGAGATAAGTACTAAGAAGATTGCTCCACAGTTTGGAAGCTGGCCTCACATGCTGGGGAAAAAGGAAGCCCAGATAGAGGAGAGACCACCAAGTAAAGGATGCCTGGAGGACCTGCTTGGGATGGGAGATGTGTGCTGAAAGTAGACTACAGACCGAACATGAAGGCCACTTAATACCTGCATTGCAGACCACAACACCCTAAAGGAGAGAGAGAGCATAAAAGGGAATCCGTCTGCCACAGAGGCAGGGCCCCCCTGGGGGTGAGGGGGGGACAGGGGTGAGGGTGGTAGGAGGGATACTGAGAACACTGGTGGTGGAAAATGGGCACTGGTGGGATGGGTACTTGATCATTGTATGACTGAAACGCAAGCATGAAAGTTGTAAGTCTGTAACTGTGTCTCGCGGTGATTCATTAAAAAATAAAAATTTTAAAAATATTTTAGATATTATTTTAAAATAAAATAAATAATACATGGTATTTAAAAATATAAGAGCCTGGCAAGCTACAGAGAGTATTTTGCCCACATGACAAAGCCTAGCAAGCTACCCGTGATGTATTCAATATGCTAAACACAGTAACAACAAGTCTCAAAATGGAGACGTTACTGGGCCCGCTTGAGCAAATTGATGAACAACAGGAGGACAGTGACAGTGATTTTAAAATAATAATATCTTGTACCTGTATAATTCCCCAAACCCTGCCTGGAATAAGTCCTGAGCACTGCTGGGTGTGACTCAAATCCCCCACCAAATTTTGGTGTGCTTGATAATAATGCACCCCTAAAAGACATCAACATTTACACTCATATACACCAATGCTACCTCAAAAAAAGGGGGGAAGGGTAGAAATATGTCAATTAATTGTGCTATAATCTGAAACTTTAACATGCTGATGCTGACACTGCAATTTGTGTTATTTTAGCCATATCCAAGTGTGAGCCACAAATGGTATGCACTAGCATCAACATGTGAAGATAGTTTTCTGTGCGCTACACAATAGAATCCTTCTTTTCTTTTAAAACAACCAATGACCACACGGGTTGCTATACTTTTAAATAAAGTTCACAATCTGGTAAAGTTAATGTCCCTCTTTGCTCCTTCTTTTATGAAAAAAAAATTATTGATTACATATTCTTCAAATAAACTGTCTATATGTTGGGGCTTGAACTCACATTCAGTTTTATAACTTAGGAAAACTGACAGCTTTACAACATTCACATATTATTTTATGTAATATAGAATAAAATGCCAATTTTTTAAAAAATTGCATTTCCAGATCTTTATTTATTCTTTTTGGGGGGGGGTCACACCCAGCGATTCTCAGGGGTTACTCCTGGCTCTGCATTCAGGAATTACTCCTGGCCGTGCTTGTGGGACCATATGGAATGCCAGGGATTGAACCCAGGTCGGCCGCATGCAAGGCAAAGGCTCTACATGCTGTACTATCGCTCTGGCCCCCTAAAATGCCAAATTTACACATGCTTTGTCTTATATCTATATTGAGGGCATGGTAATGGTACTGAAAATAGCATCTTTTATCACTCACCACATATACAAAATGTAACCTGTATATGTAATTATATTATAATACAGTAAAAATATATAATACATAGTAATTTTGTATGCATTTTTCTGTTACTTAAAAAGTAACCATGTTACTCAAATTTCCTATTATTTCTTAAAACTTTACTTTTGATTTTTTTAGGCTTTTCAAAAAATACTCATTATAAATAGTTATTTTACTCTGGTGACTAATTTCAGGGCATCCATTAAGTTTTTACATTGAATATTTTTCTTAAGGTGGTCTCATTTGCTATTCCTTAAAAAACACTCATGGGAATAGTAACATCACATAACGCGTGGCTTTTTATAAATAAAAGAATGTTTACAATGACTGTTTACTAACAGCTTACCATACATGTCTCATAATACTTAATCTTTATCATCTAAGTAAATTCTATTAGCATTGAATAGTTCAGGATTTATGTTGGCAAAGTACTTGTTTCAAATCATAGATTCAATAGTAGAACTAGACAACCAGGAACCAAAAACTAATCTTGTCTGGTTGTTGAAGTCAATCTCTTAATCTTTATATGAGACCTTGCCTTAAAGAATAAGGAAAGGTATAGTCAGAGAAGGCAATGAGAGCCCCTTTCATATACAGTTAATTTCCCTATCCTAATTGGTCAAAGTTACAGGTAAAGAAACTAAGGCTAAGCACCCTGAAAAGCCCTTTTGGAGGGATAGAAGCTAGAGAGCCAGTATAGAATAAATCCTCCTATGTTAAATAAGCATTTTATTAATTTTTCTGTCAATAAGAAATGTACCTGTGCTTTAAAAAAAATCTAAATCTGGCCTTCTCCAGAAAAAAAGTTAACCAATTTTATTTATAACTGTTTTAAAGTTCAACAGCTGAACTTGTTCACTGAAACATTCTGACTTGTACTAATATTAAGCAGGCATTTTTAAAATCACAGAAGAAACTAAAACTCACTTTGGTCATGTCATTTAGCCAACCAGTTTGGCACGTAAATCTTCTTTTAGTATCTTCCTCTGTTGTCTCTTGAGAAAGAAGAGAGTTTTGAGGAGGAGCTAGAGTGAGAGAGAGGGAGAGACCTTTACAGAGATTATTCCTATTTAAGTAGCTCAGGAAATGCTTAACCAAAAAGATGCCTATACTTTCTTTAAGAATCAGATAAGGATTAGTGATTTGTTCTAAAACATTAGCGCAGGCTTCAAAAATAATTCTGTGTGAGTAATCAAATACATGGTTAAAAATAACAACTTTAATCATTAAATCCTTATGTGATATAAATTCTGTGACTTGTCCTTTTTTTAGTTAAGAAGAAATATTATTGGGCTGGGAGATAGTATAGAAGTTATTGCTGGATTTGATTTTTGGCATCACATGATCCCCTGATAACCACCTGGTGAAATTCTGGAGTAGCTTCTAGCATTGCCCAGGTGGCCCCAGATATCCCTGGCACTGCATCCTCTAGCCCTTGGGCTGAACTACTGGCCGAGTTAGTCAAGAATTAATAGTCCCTGGAACCTGGGACTCCTGAACACTGCTTGGGAAGCTATCATATCGCTTTTCCTCCTCCCTGCCACCTCAAATAAGGGGAAGAAAATATTCTCTGGATCCTTCTCTACTTTTTTGGGAATGTCATTATTAAAAAATCCAATTCACAAAGCAAATTATTGTCACAATGGTTCAAAATACCATAGGTTCACTTTCTGGGGTCTCAATCAGGTAATACGGTTGTGTTGAACCTCTGTGTTCTATGACACTAGATATCATGTGCTTGATCTCAAACAATTGAAAGAAAAATACTATACAGGACGGGGCTCTTACAGTATGTGATGACTGACCAAATGACCAGCATTCTCCTGAATGTCTTTAAAAGACTGCTCCCCTTTTAGCCCCAGGAGTCCTCCCCTATTCCCTACAATTCTCACCTTCCTCTTCTAGGATCTGAGTCAAATCCTCCACCAGAGTTACAACTTCCTCGCTGCTCCCTGGGTACTGGGACTTTACCCAAGTCCTAACCTCCCCAGGTAGGATGGTCAGGAATTGCTCCAGTAATAGCATCTCCAGGATCTGTTCCTTTGAGTGAATCTCAGGTCTTAGCCACTTAAGGCAGAGCTCTCGGAGTTGATTCAATGCCTTTCGAGGACCAGCCAGATTTGGGTATGGAAAATTCCTAAAATTCTGTCGACAGGTCTCAGTATCACGCAAGAGTCTTGAAGCCAGGATTTCCCTCTCAACATTGTGGAGTCCAGTCTGAGCTTTGTCTGACTTCCACATCAAAAACTGGGAACGTGAAGAACTGGTCATCCTCTTGCTTGGTGCTAACATTTTGTAAGAAAGAAAGTCAATCTGGTAGTATTTCCCCAGTAGTTAGCCAAGTATGTGAAATTTCATGTTAGAGTCACAAAGACATTATTTCAAGGTTTGCTGCACTCAGAGGAGAAACAGATTCATGGAAGTTAGAGCTTTAATTATGAATTCTGAGGCCAAAAGGTAAAGATGGTGAGGAGTCCCTGAAACACAAGAATGAGCCATAAGGTCAAGATTCCTGCTACTCTCTGCTGTACATTACACACAAATACAGATTTTAAATCAGTGTCTTTCACCTGGATCTACAGATTGTAAGGAAATGCATCTTAGGGATAGTGGGATTATTTTGACTGCCAAAAAAAAAAAAAGGTGGAAAGATGCTAACTCTTAAATCATTAGTAAAATGATAGGTCAAACTTCTAATCCATTTAAATGGAAAACATCAAGCTTGTTAAATGATTCGAGAACGTAAAGAAAAATTTTAGAGTCACTGAATTTAGAGAAACTGTTAATGACTGAATTAACGCTCAATAACCACAGAGCAAATTTAGTAGAGAATTTCTTAATAAAAGTGCTCCAGGCTCCCAAGGGAACGGTCGGGCGAAGGGCGCGCTATTCCCCCCTTGCATTTTAACGCCAGCCTGTTATGCCCAGCTTCTCTCAGGCCCACGGACCGGCCAGCCGCAGGCTGTGGGCTTTGAAGTCCTTTCCGAGCGTCCACGAGCCGGTTTCTCCTGAGGCACGTTCACCCGGATTCTGAGGCCAACCTCACAGGCCTCACCGCGGGGCTCGTGCCGGTTCGCGGTCCGGTCACCCGCGCCGGAGTCGCTCGGGCTCCCCTCAGCGGCCTCCACCCGCGCCCGCGCCCCGCGCCCCCACACCGTTACCTGTCTCGGCAGCGGCGGCCGCGACCGCGACCCGAGAGCACCGGGCCGCAATGGCGGCGAGGCAGAGGCGCCTGCGTGGCGGGGCTGATCCCGCGCCGCAGCGGGGCCTGCGACGCCGCCGCCTCCTTCCCCTGAAGGCTAGCGGGGAGTTTCTCCGCGGGGCCGCGCCAGCCACGTCCGGAGAGCCCGGCCGGGACCCACCTCTCCTCAGCTTCGCCGCGACCTCGCCTCGGAGCTACTGCGCATGTGCGTGCGGGGGGTGGAGGGGGAACGCTGCGCGTCGGCCGAGCCAATAGGAAACGCAAACTCGACCCTTCCTCCGCTGCCTCGCTCCAAGGACCTGTCTCCATGGCAACCTCCTCCACCCATCCCTGTGACTTGCTTGTGAATCCCAGGGTTCCCACACTAGCTTTAAAATTTCCCTGGGGAGAGGCAGATAGACCGCTTGGAGGGCAGAAGTTAATGCTAATAGGAGTGGCGTAAAGCCCCACAGTCATTACTAGAGAAAAAATCCTGCGCCAGAGTTGCAAAGAAAATGGGATGATGGACAGGGAGGACACGACTGAAAAGGCAGCAAGACTCAAAGTGCTGCTTTGGGATTTTCGGAACATGAAAGTTCTCTGTTAAAGGTTCTGAATTACTCAACTCCCTACTTTTACTGAACCTCAGGTTTATAACCCAAAATTTTAATATTGAAAAACAGCACATCCAACAACATGTCTATAAGAGACACAAGATAAAAATACACAAATGCTTCAAAATAGAGGCTATTCCAGTGTTATCTACTGTCCTGTAGACAAACAACCGCATGTTCCCCCCCTTCCTTTTTGTTAACAGGTTACTTCTGGCTCTCTGTCCAGAGGTCCCTCCTGAGAGATGAGACACAAGCCAGACAAGCAACTGCAGAGCATGGCACTGGAGCAGATAAGACCCGACCTTGCAAAACGGTTCTGAAGCGAGGCCTCATTGAAGGGAGTATCTGGGCAAAGTTGGCAAGAACAGGATATCAGCACCAGGTGTCCAGCCTTGAGCCTCACTCGACATGCACCAAAGACACAAAAACTGTCGCATACACTTAGCAAGTCATCCTAATCGCAGCATCTAACCTTGAATGGAATTGGACCGGGCAAAGCAGAGAAGAAAAGGTAATAGGCTAATAATGCTAAAGTTTATGTGATTGAACATTGCAGTAAGCTGAGACCATCTATAAAATATGTGTATATTTGTCAATAAAATGAACAGCCATCAGCTGATCCTGGAGGGTGTTTCTCTGCGCTCCTATCATTCTTTGCCCCAGGTCTTCTTGGGCCTGGTGCACAACGTGTTCAGGCACCTTGGGGAAAAACTGTTCCTGCAACAAAGCACCTCAACTCCTATATTCTCTCTCCATCCCCAACAATATAATGATTTTAAAGAGTAAATATTTTAGGGATCAGAGATCATATGACTCCAAAGGCTCCAGCGATAGCACAGCGGGTAGGGCATCTGCCTTACAAGCGGCCAACACGGCCAACCCGAGTTCGATTCCTCCGCCCCTCTCGGAGAGCCGGGCAAGCTACCGAGAGTATTCGATATGCCAAAGGCTGAAGTCCATATTTTGTAGAGAGGAGAACCAGATTTGACTCCTCTGAACACTTCATGGGAATTAGTTCGAGAGCACCACTGTATATGGTTTCCTCCCAAATGAACTGCTATTATGATTATGGATGCTGTAAATCAAAAATTACAAAGGGAGTAGTGGGTTTGTATCTTTGATCCATTGTGTCTGGAGTCAGTTAAGATAATTTGTTGGCATGAGAGTTCACTTCTAAGATAGATTCTTTGGCATGTCTCCTGTATGGGCTTAGATGGTTTAAGGAGAAGTTTAACTTCGATTTGAGCAACTTGGATTGAAGAACTTTATGTCAGGTTTTGAGTTTAAGCATGATTATCATTCTTAAACAAAGTTATGACCCCATATGGGGTTGAGTAATTAAAAGAATGTTTTATAACAAAATTCTTTATTTTATATACTTATATCCAGGGTTGTGTTAAACTTTTCCAGGAGAAAGGAAGTTACAAGTGGGAAGAGTTTAAGAAGCCCTATTTTAGAGAACCTAGGAAATTTTTAGAGATTATGTGCTGATTACGACAGAGCTTTGAAAGACACATGACATTACTGCCATCAAGTTCTTGGTCAAAGCAGTCACAAGTCTTTGAAGGATCAAACCATCCTGCACATGCAGAATCCTTCTCTCTTGATGGAGAAGTCCCAGAGAGTGTTAATATCATCACACCTAGCAATGTGAACAAAGAGAAAGCTGAGTAGCATGACGGTAGTTGAAATATGTAAATTTGGGTAGGCTATAGTCTTCTGATATTTAATGGGACACTAATCTAGATGTTACTATAAAGGTATTGTGTATATATGTTTAAAGTTCATAAACTCAATTGACTTAAGTGTGTGAATTTATCTTGGGTAATTAAAGTGTGCATAGTTCCATCAAAAAAGTAATCACTGCTGTGACACTGTTGGAAGGGACTACACTGCTTGGTGTTATATACTGTCTTTGTGAGCAAGGAAGAAAGTAGAAACTTATAAAAAAAAATGAGGTAACCCATTGCTGTAATTGGGGGCCTCAAGGGATTGTTCTATGAAGAAGTGCTGCTCTGGTTCTGTGGTACTCAGAGGCTTACTCCTATTGGTGCTTTGGGGAACTTTCAGTGATTTAGAATCAAATTCAGCGTCTTGCACATGCTTGGAATTCCTATACAGTTTGAGATATTTTCCTGCCCCAGTAATTTCTCCCCAATTTTATCAGTGCTTGAGGATACTGTGGTATTCAGAGGACCTTGCAGTTCTAGGAATCACACCTGGAATTTCAGCAAAAAATGTGCTCCAATACTTTGAGTCACTTTCCAAGTCCTGAGCCAGCAATTTTTGGGAGGTTTTTGCTTATTTGGGGGGGGGCGGAGGTATTGCTTATACCTGGGTCTGTCCTCAGGGATCACTCCTGAATTGCTTGGGGAACCATATGTGGTTCTGGCGGGGGGGGGGGGGGGTCAAACGTGGGTCAGTCACATGCAAGGTAAGCACCTTATCCTCTATATTATCTCTATTTTAAATATTATAGGGCTTGTTTGGAGGTTCTAGCAGGGGTGTGCAGCTACTCGTATACCCTCGACCGAAGACCGGTCCATCTCTATTCGGGGAAGGCCATCCTCTTCGACCGAGCGCGCAGCTTCAGGAGGGATGCACATGGAGCAGTGAGGGAGGAAAGGGACACCCACCTAGCCAGCCAGATCAGCCGAATCAACCCTGGTGATCAATGGAGTGACAGATGTCGCAGCCAGATCACCCTCACATCCGGGGCTGGAGCGATAGCACAGCGGTAGGGCGTTTGCCTTGCACGCAGCCAACATGGCCAACCCAAATTCGATTCCTCCGCCCCTCTCGGAGAGCCCAGCAAGCTACCGAGAGTATCTCGCCCACACGGCAGAGCCTGGCAAGCTATCCGTGGCGTATTCGATATGCCAAACACAGTAACAACAAAGTCTCCAATGGAGACGTTACTGGGCCCGCTCGAGCAAATTGATTAACAACGGAAGGACAGTGACAGTGACTAAATATTATAGAATTGAATGGATATTTCTGGGAGCATTGGTAAAGAAATGGTGGGGGAAATTCATAACTAGTTTAATGTATAAAGTAAAAATCATTAGTTTTCTTCAAGTTCAATGACAGAGTCTACAATTAGAATAACTTCAGTGAAAAGTGAATTTATTCACCCCAGAAAGTTTGCTATGTTAATGTGAGAGGCTTGTTTAAAAATGAGCGAAATGTGGGGCTGGAGAGATAGCACAGTGGGTAGGGCATTTGCCTTGCACACAGCCGACGCAGGTTCGATTCCCAGCGTCCCAGATGGTCCCCTCAGGACTTCCAGGAGTAACTCCTGAGTGCAGAGACAGGAGTAACCCCTGTACATTGCCGGGTGTGACCCAAAAAGAAAAAAATGAGTGAAACATTGAGATTCGGGATGTCAATATATGGATTGATATAGGCATACATCTCAAAGCACGGGTTTTTAAAAAAGAAAAATTTAAAAAAATTATTGTAATGTAGAAAAAGCCCAAATTGTTGATACAATTCTATAATTATAATTGATAGATAACAAACATGCAATATTAAAATCAATAGGCAGGGCTGGAGCGATAGTACAGTGGGTAGGGCATTTGCCTTGTATGCGGCTGACCCTGATTCAATTCCCAGCATCCCATATGGTCCCCCGAGCACCACCAGGAGTGATTCCTAAGTGCATGAGCCAGGAGTAACCCCTGTGCATTGCCGGGTGTGACCCAAAAAGCACAAAAAAAACAATAGGCATAAAATTTATGTGAAATTGTTATATCTGATTGCAGGTTTAAGTATAAGAATTTATTAAGTTGTTTGTTATTTAGAAGGAGTCATGCTGCCCCATATGAGGCCATGCAGTCCAGAGACTTCAGAATCTATGATCTGGGCCAGTGAATCTACATGGTTACAGCTGTGGGAGGTGGACATGGTTGACAGGGCTTTTGGAAATATAGAGAGTTGGGGGAGATTCCCATCCCAACTCTGAAAAAAAAAACCACCAGAAATTGCAGCCTGGACACCGGGTATCTAAAATTATCTGCAGATTTGCATCTCTGTTGGGAATATTCATAAAGTGGTAGAGTTGATCCTTTGGAGTTGCTGCCCTGGTGAGGTATGGGTGGGGCTGCCAGAGCTTTGATTAGGTGGATATTTGGCCTGCCCACCTCCTGACTGCGCTCTGGAGTTTTCATCTGCAGGGACTGTAAAAAATCTTCAAGGGTGGCCAGGGGGAGGCCCCAACGGCTCTGGCCCCTAGCCACCCTCTCCCGCAGCCAGGATGGCCTGAGCCATGGGGCAGACGGTGGAGGAAGCGAGGGCCAAGCCGGTTGATTGATCAGATGCCCTTTATTTCATTCTCGCTATACGCCTGCCCCAGTCTCTCTGAGCCTCCCATTCTGGTCTCACACTGCTCCTCATTCCCGTCTCCTCCTGTCTCTCCTGCTCATCTCTCCATGCTCCATCTCGCAGCCTGGGCTCGCTCT